ATATATTCTTACACACATGTACTGAGCATAGATCTCAAAGAAAGAAGCAGTAAATATAAGTTCCAGCAAAAACGTGTCAACTATTGGTTCGAACGGAAAGTACCGTGTGTAACACAAACTACCCAGTTTGGTACCATGTTTATATTATGAAGAGCGCAATAACAGAAGTAATATCCGACTGGCTGATGATAAAAGGCTTGTAGGTAGTGGAAGTAAAATGGCGCCATCATGCAAACGGCCTATTTCTTGCCTGAGTGGTCCCTCAGTGCAACTGGTTATGCACCTCTAACCCTTGATACCATGAGCCTTGAATAGACCTGTTACGCTAAAAAGTATTTCCGGGTCCAGATGCTCATATTAAAACCGTAAAAATAAAACCAACGATTTGATCCGAAGCTAACGAATCGCACTAAAAAAAAAAGAAATCTTTGCAGAATTTGCTTTTCATTTTGACCTGGAAGTCTAATTTTATACTGGAATGACGTACAGTGTTCATGACTAGTACACTCAAAAGATCTTTATATACGACACAAAATTGTTCCCAAAAGAGCTGTGGTTAAAGTCAATGATTGAACCTGTACTGACCTGTAGTAGGTGCCAAAAAAATTCAAAGGCACGTACAACTGTACCATGTACGTGATGAACTGGACAAATTCTCCAACCTATGATAGGAAAAAGAAACGTTTTAAGCCGAATGATCCTCGAGACAATACATCTAGCTTAATGTAGTGGTTTGTCAAACAACTGTGAATCAGCTTTGGGAGCGCAGCGTTATCCTGGCAGGGTTTTAAATGCTTTGCGTGTGACCAGGGGTGCTTACCATTTACCCAGAAAAAACGGAAATTGGAAAAACGAACGCTATATGTCCGATCGCAAAGTACCGGAAAGCTGATTGAGGTAATCCACTTTTCCCGCTCTTTTCGGTTCTTCCGGTAGACGGGTTTATATTTATCGCAATTCAAAGTTTCGCGCTCTATTCTTATCATTAGCAAACGAATTTGCAACCGGATAGTCTCATACGCAGCCGCTATTAGGGTCGTCACGCAACGCTCACTCCCCTAAGTAGCTGGTAGCTAGCTAGCGTAAGGGGAGTGAGCGTTGCATGACGACACTAATAGCGGCTGCGTAGGAGGATACCAACCGATGTATGTAAGGTGGTGAATATGAAATTTTACAAATAGTTCCCTTTTAGCCAATGAGTATCCACCTAACCACACCCTCTTTAGAAAATTCTTAATCATCCTCAAAGCATTCATTTCGCGGGTTTTGAAAATGTCTTTTCTTGGCACGATATCATTAAGCTCAGTTGGTCGTCCAAGGTATTAGTTTTGCGGAAGATTTTGAATAAAATAGTATCGGAATTCTACGAATAGTTTCTTTTAAGCCATCAAGAATTCACCTCATCCCACCCACTCAGAGAATCTGTGCATTTTTAATTGAACTATTCCCTATTTGCGAGGTTTGAACATGTTCTTCAGGGAGATCTTGGCAAAATATTATTGAGCTCAGTTGGAAGTCAAAGGTATTAGTATCGAGGAAGAGGCTCAACAGGAATAAAATCGTGAAGTTGGCAGAACTTTCTACGTGTAGGTGTACAAGGTTAGATGACCACTGTTAGGAGATTTGTCATAACAGGAAGCAACATTAGTTTAGAGATGGGATCGCACGTATACTAAAAAATACATGCATATCTGACTGTTCTCACCATGCCATCACAAAACAAGGAAAAATCCAGGCGAGTGAGTAGGACTCGGATATGTGTATGATGTATACATGTCTTGAATGAATGATGAATTGGCAAATTCGTAGTTGTACTTGGGCCTATATATACCCTTTCTTAAAGTAGCCGTTACTACGTGTTGTGATTGGATGAAGTACTGGAAGCAAATGGAAAGCCATTTCAATGTTAGGTCATGTCGTATCATTTACGTGCGCTGAAACTGCTGAAAGACAGTAGCGTATATTTCCCACTACGAAAACCATTCTTATGGGAAACCATTTTAATGTTACAGCATGCTGTATCATTTGGGTGCGCTGTAAGTCAGTAGCGTATATTTCCCACTACGAAAACAATTCTTATGGGAAACCATTTTGATGT